GTCTTGCAGTCATTTCATGAGATACAAGTGTCCGGAGCACTTGTGGGTGATTCCTGTTCCTCTCCTTTGCCCATAGAGGTTTTGCCAGCTCTTTGGTCTTTGACATATTTCTCAGCTAGGCTTTTAGTGGAGCTATCTTCAATCTGCCATTCTTCTCTGGAAACATATCTTAGATGTAGCCTATATAAGGAGGCAGCCTATATAATTTGGCTAAAGGAGTTTCTTGCTGAAGATTGTTGGAATGCTTCAGAGGGCTTGGAGGGCAGAAGAACAGAAGGAGGGAGGAAGCAATATTAGCATGCTTGTGTTGCATGGGACAGGATCCAGATTCAGTCCCTGGAATCTCCTTGAAGGGACCCATGTCATATGTATATCATAAAACATCATTGCAAAACTATATCATAAAACATCATTGCTTATCTTTAGTGTTAACAAAAAGGTGCTAGTTAATTGTTCTAACTGTCAGGAAATTTCTCTTTAATTCTAAGTTGCTTCTCTCCTTGCTTAGTTTGTATCTATTGTTTCTTCAGGTTCTTTGGAGAATACAATGACTCCCTCTTCTTTGTGGCAGCCCCTGAGATATTGGAACACTGCTATCATGTCACCCCTAGTCCTTCTCCTCATTAAACTAGACATACCCAGTTCCTGCAATCATTCATTATATGCAGCTCAAGACAATTTCTTGGAGATTGCAGGGTGTCGTAAAGAAGCACGGGTTTTCTTTTTCTAAAAAACGAGCTTACCCCAAGATGGAGCAACTTGTGGCTCAGATACATCCTCCTTTTCCATGGCTTGTGTCCCCCCCTCCCCTCCTCAAGATAATGTCTCTGAAATTGAGTGGCAAAGAGCCGCATCCTACCAGCATGATTTTCTGTCATTTTTAGCAAAAAGAGATAAAATGCATTAACTCTAAAAAAAAAGATGAGGATAAAGGGCTGAAAATTTCACCAGCCCCCTCTGGAGATAATACCACGATGCTATCATGATTATGCTACCTCTCAGCCACTCCAAAAATTGATTCTTTGGGGGGAGGGGGGAATCAGTACAGCCCCTGGCTACAAAAATTTCATTTTGCAGTCCTTCTTACTGCTGTGTTGTATATGGAAGGAAGAACGTATCTGGGAGAACCGGCTCTCTATCCTTTTCAAAATAAGTTTTCTTTTCACTTATGTGCTAATAAAACATCTGGCTAGAGATGTGAGAGGGACAGGTTTTCTGTTCTGCTGATCATCTCTCCTTTGTTCTCTTCTTTTGCTCCCGTTTCCTTCAAATGCTGCCTCCCTTACAGGCTGCACCATTCTGCATTGATTAAAAGTAAGAAGGCCCAAGCTAGGAAGAAAAGAGAACTAATCTCATCTTTGCGGGGATTGGGAGCCTGTTTGCTTAGCAATATGAGATAAGCAAGAAGTCAAATGAGAGGAAAAAAAGGAAACTGGATATAAACTCAGTACTTCTTCAGTGACCATCCTGATGTGGGTGGATTTGGGATGATGGGAAAGCGGGTTGACTGTTTTCCTGTAGTGATGCCCATACTTGGTTGCGTTGAGGTTGGCTCTAACTAAGGTGTTTCTTTCCAGTGAGGACTTTATGATTTTGCTTGTGCCTCTCCAGATGTTTTGGACTATGGCTCCCAGAATTCCTTTGTGTTTGCAATTTGCATGGTCTGAGGCAGTGGTGGGATTCAGCCGGTTCGCACCTATCCGGAGGAACCGGTTCTTAACTTTCTAAGCAGTTCAGGGGACCGGTTGTTGGAAGAAATCTCATTTTGTTTTTTTCCCCACTTTACAGGGCTAATCCTGTAAGAGAGGCAGGAAGGAAACATTCTAGTATTTCTAGCCTAATCTTTATTGCCCTGCTTACAAGAACTGCCGCTCTGGTTAACTCTTATTACATTGTAACAGCTAAGGCAAAGTGCCCATCGACGTGAGTGATATTGAGTTGGCCATGCCCACCCAGTCACATGACCACTGAGCCACTCCTACCCAGCTGGTCATTAGGGCAGATAACCGGTTGTTAAATTATTTGAATCCCTCCACTGGTCTGAGGGTGTCAAACATCCAGAAGGAGCATCCAATGTTATATCTTAGATGTAAGCCTTTTTCCCTCCAAGTGAATTCATTAAAGATTATATTTTACAAACAANAGGGATTAAATTCGGGACCTGGGAACTCTTGGCAGAAGTGGAGCAGCCTTTCTTTCTCTTTCCAAGAGAGGCGGTGGAGTTTATCCCTTGGAACTTTCCTGCAAACACCCCCCCCCCCCCAAAAAAAAAAAAAAGCAATTTCTGTTCCCGGCTGCCACTTTTCTCTCCTTTCAGCCCGAAACGGTCGCGGTTCTTCACTGGCCCGGCCAGATCCCCACTTTTGTCGGGGGGAAGGGGGGGGCAGTTGTGGATCCGCTCATGCGGGGCTGCCTCGGCCCGCGGTCGTTTCCTTTCCGCCGCGGAGGGGCGGGGAAGGGGGGGGAGCGTCGCATTGCTCTGCGCATCGCCCTCCAGGGAGAGTTCTGAATCCAATAATTAAACATTTATTGGTGGCAGCACCTGCCTTCCGCCTGCCCGGCCCCCCGAGGAGCGCCAGCCCGGCCCAGCCGCGGAAGGCAGGCAGGCAAGCAGGCAGGCAAGAAGGAGGGGACAGAGAGCCAGCCAGGAGGCGCAGAGGAGCAGCGCTGCAGAGGCGGCGGTTGACCGGCGCTCCGCACTCGCCCGACGCCGCCTCCTCCTCCGGATGCCAGCACAGGCGGCGGCGGCGGCCAGCTGGAGCGGCGGCCAGGATGCTGCGCTACCTGCTGGAGACGCTGCTGCAGATGAACCTCTTCGCGGACTCGCTGGCGGCCGGCGACGGGCTGGCTAACTCTTCGGAGCTGCTGCTCAGCTTCAACTCTTCGGCCCTGGCTGCGCTGAGCCCCGGCGGTTTCCTCGACCTGGCCAACGTAACCGGCGGCAACGGTGAGTGGTGAGGAGCAGGCGGCTGAGCCGGGAAGGGTACCCCGGGCTCGGGATCTGCCAGCGGGAGGCGGGGGGGGGGGGGGGCTCGGGCCAAGCCAGCACTGGCGGCAGCTGGAGGGAGGGAGAGCGCTCTGTACATGCTCTAGGGCAGGATTGTGGATCGCGTGGGAAACCGATCTGGGACGCCGAGTTTTCTGTCGGGGGTCAAGGCAGCTGAGTTTTTCCTGCACTATCTGCAGCCCCCCCCCCACCCCGTGATAGAGAGAGCTGGGGGCGGAAAGGGGACGGGTCTTCTGCGCCCCCCCCACCAGATTTTATGCCGGAGGTCGGAATTGAATTCCAGTTTAGCCCCTCCGGTCCCTGCAGTGGCTTTCCATCCACACCCTCCGTAGATCGAAAGATTCAAGCTCTGTGATCTCTTAACACGTGTCAGGTTTGGGTTTCAGGCCAAAGTCCGGGAGAAGGTTTGGGGGCGAAAGGGACACGGCTGACTTTTTTTTTTTTTTAGCCGCGTGAGGAAAGTCCGCCAGGGAGGGTCAACGATCGTCACCTCTGCCCACTTGAGGGGCGAGCCTGGCGCCTTCCGCCCATTCACACGTGCACGTGTCTCACTGGGGAAAAGTAACGCATCCTCCGAGAAATCCTTTGTTCCAGAATGCTTTTCCTCTCCAGGGAAACGTACCCAGGGCGGACACGCGTCTGCATCTTCCCACGTGTGCGGGATTTTTTTTTTTGGATGGGGATAATTGTTTCTCTACTCACGGGTCTCTTATTCGAGTGGTGAGAATCATTTAAAGGGGGGAGCATTTGATTTCTCGGATCCCTGGCCATATAGAACCCTAAGCTGTCCCCTCTTTCCTGGGGGGCCCGCCCAGTTTGAAGCCTCCTGGGATTGCACCATCCGGCCAGGTGCAGGTGGAGAGACCCCGCTGAACTCGGAGCCCCGCCTTTCGAGAAAACATCGACCCTTGCATTTTGCAGGGGTCTCCAACCTTGGCAACTTTAAGACTTGTGGACTCCAATTCCCAGAATTCCTCAGCCGAGGAATTCTGGGAATTGGAGTCCACAAGTCTTAAAGGTGCCAAGGTTGGAGACTCCTGTTCTATAGATTCAAATATAACCCTATTCCATTTTTTTTTAAATTCCCCAATTGGCTTAGACACCGGTGGTCCTCCTCCTCGCGAGCATCCCCTGACTCCTCCGCAGGGACCAGCGCTTCAATTTATTTCCCATTCTTGCAAGATCAGCCTTCTAAACCAGGCTGGGAGGTCACAGACGGAAAAAAAGCTCCTGGGTCAAGTGCAAAGTGCAAACCCCGTCTTGACATTTCAGGCCGATCCAGGACACGCGAGAGGGCAGGAGTTAAAAGCTTTTTTCAAACGTTTTGTCCCGTATCATCTCTAAGTCCATCTCCTAGTCCTGGGGGCTGGACTAGAAGACCTCCAAGGTCCCTTCCAGCTCTATTCTATTCTAATTTCCCCTTCAGTAAAAAAACAACCCGGGGGAGTTCGTATTTTACTGTCAGATTAGGACTGATTTTATGTCCCAGGAAGATCTCGCCGGCTCTCCCTCCTCCTCCTCCCTCCCGTTGCAGTCCAGCCTTCTCAGCGCACTGCATGAAAAGGACACGCGGGTTAATCCCCCCGTAGCGCCTCCGCAGGGAGCTGCAGTTAACCGAGCTCGCCCCCTTGAGAGCGCCCGCCTGGATCAGGCCCTGCGCGCGTTTCCGTGGTGGGGCCTTTTCAGACGAAGCGCAGGCTTTAAAGGCAGCGCGACTCTTAGGGAACGCGGTTCTCCGGCGATGCAGCTAATAAGACGCGGAGCTCCGCTTCTTCCGCGCGGAGTTTGCAACTTACCTGTACAAGAAGCGCGTTGACTTCCTTCTGAAAGGCGGCCGGGGGGGGGGGCGAACCTCCTATTTGGTGAACGATCCTAGGTAGGAATTGTAAATTGGCCGTTTTGCGCCCTCTCTTGGCTAAAGCTGGTAATGAACAAGTTCCGGATTCTTTTTCCCCCATCTATTCGTTCTTTATCAGATTTAAAAAAAAATAGTATAGCCTTTATTGCCATTGTACAAAATGAATACAATGAAATTGGTTTATTTTCTCCAGTCCTGCCCGATTTCCGAAGGCTGCATCGACAAATATTGTGCCGAGAGTTTTTAGAAGAGGTTTGCCATTGCCTCCTTCCTAGGGCTGAAAGAAAGGTGCTGGCCCAAGTCATCTAGCAGGCTTTTAGTGCCTAAGGCAGAACTGGAACTCACAATCTCCCACTTTTTCGTCTGATGTCTTAACTGCTACACCAAACTAGCTCTTTCATTCTTAGATACTGGGGAAGAATCGGGGCCACCCTTAACACCATTATGGGCCCCTACGACAATAGCAATAGCAATAGCAGTAGACTTATATACCGCTTCATAGGCCTTTCAGGCCTCTCTAAGCGGTTTACAGAGAGTCAGCATATTGCCCCCAACAA